TCGGTAATGTCTGGGCAAGGATCATTAGCTCGTGTTAGCAAACAGCCCAGTGTAAATTATTATCTGGGGCGAAGATGGAGGTGGAAGAAGTGAGTCAAAAAAAAAAGGAGGAGGTTGGGGTTAAAATAAAAGCTCTGAACTTGTACATTACGTTTTATTGGAAATATTGACAGTAACTTTTTCAAATGATACGTTACTTCCTCGGTCTACTTTTAGCCTTCCTCTTGTTTACACTGCGGGAAGTACAAGTGTAAATTGTAGGTATCTGTACTTTACTTGAGTACATTTTACTTTTACTTCACTACATTTGAGAGCAGATACTTTCTACTCTACATTTTTTTTAATAGGACTGAAAAGTAAAAGGATTTTTTTTAATCATATTTTGAGACCTGCTGAAAAGCTTGACACTTTATTTTTAACACATTTGTAGTTTGAGCAAAAAAAAAAAATAAAAAAATACAAATAAAAACTATTGATTTAGTTAGCCACAGATCTTTATCAAAATCCTCAATTTGAAGCCTTATATCTGTGTGAAATTTGTTTACTGTTACTCATTTTTTAAACTGGTACTAGTCTTTTTTTTTAATATAGTACTTTTACTTGAGTATTTTTGGCTAAAATATCTGTAGTTTTACTTAAATGACAAAATAAATAGTTCTTCCAGCAGTGCTTGTTTACCTGTAGCCTCGAGCTGTTAGTTCATAAACTAGGACAAAAAATACATAATAGTTATAATGATAATGTCTACTACTACCTGCTGAAAAGGCTGATGCTTTATTTTTAACGCATTTGCAGTTTGAGTTAATGAAAATAAATAAATAAAACAGCTAGGAAAAAACAACTGATTTAATTGTTTCTATTGAATAAAATTCAGCACAAATGTTTATCAGAATTACTCAGTTTGAAGTTGCTCAAGTATCTGCACTTTTACTTTAGTAACAAGATAAATACTTCTTCTACCAGTGCTTGTTTACCTGTACCAGCTATTAGCTCATATATAATAAAAATATGACAAAAATCTAATTTAGAACGATTGAGGGAGGCCTTTACGACAATTTTTGCTAGTTACAATAATGAGGTCTACTACTAGCAATTATTATTATGACTTAATTAATTAATCATTGCATTTATATAACGCCTTTCAAGATACCCAAAGCACTTTACAGTTCATTATTCATTCACTCCACACTCAGTGGTGGAAAGTTACTGCTGTAGCCACAGCTGCCCTGGGACAGATTGACTTAAGTGAAGCTGCCAATCTGCACCATCGGCCCCTCCGTCCACCACACACACGCACACACCACTTTCATACTAGGCAATGTGGGTGAAGTGTCTTGCTTAAGGACACAATGTTTTTGCCACTTGTGCCCCACTGCAGTGATTTGATGTCCAGTCATATTACTAACTCAAATATTTAGACTTTTCTTTCAAAGTAGGCTGCAATTTTCTATGTATCCTGTGTCAAAAACATTGTTCCCTCAAGTGTCACTGTCACATAGACCATCTGATACTGGTGCATTTTGTATTTAAATGCACTGGAACTCCTCTACTATAAAAGTTTTGACACTTGTGCCATTATCTTTGCTCCACCGCAGTTTCACCTGAGCTATATTTGCACTTTCAAACAAGTATTTTTTAACTTTTGCACACCTTAATCAGTGAGATATATTGGATTAATCCGCCCATCACTCATGTAAACTACTAAGTATACTCTATAATCTACAGGTACACGCAGTAGTCATTGGTTTGATCTCCAGTGCAGAGACTTACTGTCATTTTATCCTTGGCCAATGTGTAAATATGAATGTGTGAATAGATGCAAAGTGCTTTGAGTGCCCAGTGACTTTTGCTTCCTTCTACAGTTTCAAGAACTTGACGACCTTCATAAAGTTCAGAGCTAAAACGTGACATATAAACAAGCATTATGTTATCAACGCCGCCATATTTCCTTATTATATCCTTTCATATTTATAGACTTTCTACACTCACGGTAAAGCCCTGCTCCCTCCTCAGCTAAGTAGACAGTTTTGAGCAGAGAAAAACGCTGGGAGCCTCACTTTCCCCATGCAGCTTGTCCGTGCACTACATGTTTACCTTATATTCTTTCTCTCTTGTTTGCACTCTTTTAATAATGCTTCACTAGCTTCCGGCACAGAAATTAGTTTTTCCACTGAGGGTGTCACTAGGCAACACTTGAGTACAGTACTAATAGCTCAGATTAGCACGTGTTTCGGTGCTGGTGTAGACAGGGCATGTAGTCAGGTGGAATGTACTGTTGGTTTAATGGGCCCCTGTGTTTGTGTGCAGGAAATCAAAGGCCCCGTGTGTGCATAACACCCCTGTTTGGGAGATACTGTACTTACGAAGCAGATTTAGTTGGAGGGAAAAAACTATAAAACATTTATTCATAATCACAAAAACATTGAACATGATGGCCATTATCCAATCAGAAAGCGGAATGAGCCCCACAGGAGTCTCTCCTTTGGGTTGCCAGTTCCAATGCTGGAGTTCAACTGGTTTAAACTTAAAATATCTCTCTCTGATTTGAATAGTCACTATCTAAACTCCAGCACCTGCAGCGAATCATGACTCCGTGCTAGTGCAGCCTCTGCAGCTCAGTGAGGGAATTCTGGAGGTTCTGAGTTTTCACACGAGTCATGGCCTGTCCATATACTGAGAATGAGTAAAACTTAGGCTACGTTCAGACTGCAGTGCGAAGTGGCCCAAATTAGATTTTTTCGCCCTATGTGACCTGTATCTGATCTTTTAATGACAGTCTGAACGGCACAGATCAGATTTTTTCAAATGTGACCCAGACCACTTAGATATGTGCTCCTAAAACCAATCATTTGACATACGACTTCAGTCTGAACGGCCAGGTCACATTCATCCCACCTACATGTCAGGCTCGGAGTCTTGTCAATGGAGGGAAAGCGAGGTTAGCGAGTTAATTAATATTTGGGGGGATCGCTGTATTGAGGCCAAATTGGAGAGGTCTTATCGGAACCAGATGTTTTTTGAAATGATTTTCAAAGAAATGGCTGACGGTGGCTACAGGTGGTCCTGGCTCCAATGTCAGCGAAAAATTAAGTGTAATCCTTTCACCCTGAAATAAAACTCTTTCCGTTTTCACTACACTGAATTCTGGCATCATCACAAAACTTGAAATGATTCTTATTTGGCCTACAGGGTTTCCTCTTTTTTGTTTATACAAAAATGTTGTTCCTTTCACTATAAAATTCCTGTGAAATATTATTTTTTTCATGGAATCATGCAGGTGCCACTTCTGAAATGTTACACTGTTGCTTTCATTAAACCAGTACTAGACCAGGACTGAACCAGGACTAAAGCAGGACAAGAATAGGACTTAAACAAATCTACACTACCCTTAAACTTAATAAGCAAAAATGACTTTTAACCATATTATAGTTGTTTCCTCTTCTCATTTACCTTGTCAGAGTTGTATTTGGAGTGATTCATGCATGTTTGAGTAATCTTTAATCTCATATTTTCAAGACGCCATATTGCTAATCAACCCCCATTTTCACCGCCACCGTTACATGCCCACTATTCTCTTGAATGATAACATAACGATCCACGGGTGTTGTACATTATAACTATAAAGCAGCCTCAAGAACAATATGTGTTCTTTACAAATAAACTAGCTCTGTTTTTCGCATTTTGGCACAGTCCAAATCAGGCAGAGCGCCTTTAATTGAGCTATAGTTGTTTCTATTGAAAGCCCAGCAGCTGTGGCTTGATGAATAAAACCATGGTTTCTCTGTGTTAAACAGGAAGGCTAAATTTAGTCTTGCAATAGGTGCAGCAGGTTCAGGCTCCTCACTCTGAACTCTGATGGCTCTGCTGTGGAGGACATGGGGAGGGCTGTGAAGGGGCAGAGAGTGTATTTATATGAATGGGCACTTGGGCAGGAGGAGATACTGTAGGAAGGAAATGCAGTCTACCTGGTTTAAAGTTAAGTCCAAGTAGTGTCCTTGGGATGTAACAATAAGTGAAATACAGTATGTCAAAAGTCTACAATAATGTCATGGTTTATCACAATTATAACCCTTTTTTGCTTCATTCATGCTTGTTTCATGAATTTGTTAAATGTTAAAACAGATGTAACTACATAGACCATGATCGTTTGCTCCATTTAACTGCAGATAACGTGAAGAAACACTTTTTGCACCAAAGTATTCTCTAAGGCCCTACATTGTGCAAAATTGTCTCATGTGAGCTTTAAGCCATGTTATAATGTTGTCACCTCATCAAAAACATACCTGGAGTTGTGTTTTATCTACCTCTCCAAGCTCAAAATGCTCAGTTCCACCTTGTGATGTCATGAAGCAGTAGTTTTCAAGTTGAAAGCTACTTTTAGTTCAGTAGAGATTGCTATTCCAGGGCTGAAATCATCCAAATTCTTCTAGTTAAATTGTATGGCTTCACTAGAATAGTCGTAGAGCACTTCCTGTATTACTGCATTACATCACAAGTTGGAACAGAGTGTTTACTGTTTGGGAGAAGAATTCATTATCCGAAATATGAGCAGAGTGTGTGAATGAAACAAAACACAACTCCAGGTTTCTGATGAGGAAATGACATTATAACATAGATCAGAAAAGAGCATAATATGGACGCAGTTTATAGTCACTTTTTAATAAAAAAAAATGTCTGTTTAAGATTATAAAACTTTGTCTGAATGGCATAAAACATATCCATCTCCAGTGTGAATGCCGGTGTTGTTTTAACTTTCTATTTCCATGGAATCTTGCAATCTGATCTCATGGAAATATAATTTGCCTGATTTCATGTCACCTTAAGAGTGTTACACAGTGTGCCTTTAAATTAACAGAGTGTGTCTTTTTGGCTGTTCCTTTTGATACACTAGGCCAGTAGATTTCCATTTCGACTCGACTTTGGAAAACCACACAGAGCGCATATTGAAACTTTGATAATGGCACTAATCACAGTATTTTGTGTGTTCTTGTTTGTGGCAGAACTCCATCCGTCACAATCTGTCCCTGCACAGTCGGTTTGTGCGCGTGCAGAACGAGGGCACGGGGAAGAGCTCGTGGTGGATGTTAAACCCAGAGGGAGGCAAGAGTGGCAAGTCCCCCCGACGCCGAGCAGCCTCCATGGACAACAACAGCAAGTTCAGCAAGAGCAGGGGCCGCGCAGCCAAGAAGAAGGTAACATAACGTTATTTTCCTGGGCACACAGTTTACACTACAGTCTTTTGATGTCTCTGTCATCCAGCCAATCATTTGTCACCAAGTGTGGGCTTTGTGGGCTCAAGAGGCTCATCACATAATCACAAACAGGAAACTTCATATTTTTATTACTATGTAGATTTTTGGTTAACTTTTCAGTTTGTCTTTTTGAGATGTTATTGTGTTGCTTAGAATGTTCCACAGCATGGCATTAAATATATTTATGTCCATGGAAACAACCAGGTAGTCAGGCTGGTGCCACCTAGTGCCTCCTCTCAATTTCATTTCTCTTCAGTGACTAGGTCAGGAATCAGACTACACTAGATCAGGCATGTCCAAACTATGGCTCGCGGGCCAAATGCAGCCCTCAGACAAATTTTTCTTGGTCCTCAGGAATTCAGGTGAATTGGCCCAAATTACCTTGCAATTAAGATAAACTTTTTACAAGGTTTTTGAAAATCTACCTTGATAAAGCTCATATTTACTATTTAGTGTGTGGTTTTGACGATCTTAGCATGAATAAAGTCTGATGGTTCATTCTAACGTGTTAAACATGCACATATTTCAATTATTCACTGTAATGAGCACCAGTCTATGGCCCTCGATCAGCCCTCTGCTTCTTCTGTGTTTTGAGATGTGGCCCTTGATGAAAAAAGTTTGGACACCCCTGCCCTGTAGATGATTTGCAAGAACCCCAGAAGTTGTAGATCGCGCATCGGCCAATCAGAGAAGAGCTGTGAAGCCATGACGTCAAACTGTCTGGGTTCCTTTCGTGGTACAGCTCAACAGTAAACAAAGCGGTCGAGATGGATGTAGACGAAGACATACATTCTGTGTTGGAAACAATTTCCAAGGTCGAGGATTTAAAGCCAGAATAAAGAGAATGTTTGGGAAAGACATTATTGCTCTTCTTCTTACAGGATTTGGAAAAAGCTTAATATACCAGTTAGACCCGTTAGCGACTCATTACATACGTCACAACCAAACAGCAGCAATTGGTTTAAAAAAAAAAGTACCCACCTACCGTCGAGTGAACGAATCCTAATCTTGCGAGGTCAGATGGTTTCTACAAAGTGAAACCAGCTGATGAATCAGGCTAACAAGCAGGTGCAATGGTGAGTACGTTGTACTTCAGGTCTGTGGAGGGGTGACCCTACTTACTGTTTAAGGTATTTTTGAACTGTTTTGAATAAATATAATGCCATACTATGGAACATTCAGGCAACGCAATAACATCTCCGTGGAGACGTAGAAGTAAGTAGCAGATTTCCCACTAGAAAAAGTAATGTTGCACCGTTAAAATTGTTTAGTCATCACTGCTGAATTTAGTTTGAAAAAATTATACACAAGTCAAAACTACTCAGTCAAATCAGAATTAATATTAAGTATTGAACCAACTGGTTAAGAAAAAAAGCACATATTTGCAGATTTTTTCACACAAAACTAGGCATTTCAGGTCCATCAAGCCATTCTCAGAGTTTTTGTGTCTGTAAGTTGTTTCCCCTCTGAAGCACTTTGTTTCTAAAACTTGATCATGGCCTTTTTCTGGTGTTACGTGAATGTAAGATAAGCCAAACTTTGTCAAACTGTGTCAAAGGTCTTTTAAAGATAAAAACAGTGTGAATTGTTTTAGTTCAGCCTTTGTTTGGTGTATAGAAAAACATAAGGAAACAATGGTTCTAAACTGGTCCGATGGATGGACCCAGCTTTTCTCCAAAATCCAAATCGTTGTTTTGTGACCCACTTTATACAGAATTGTCTATTTTTAGAAATGATCTTACTACACTTAAGCCATTATAATCGTCATGTAATTAAAACAGTATTTAGACATGTACAGCATTCAACTACTTTTAACCTTGTGACCTACATTTGAACCCATTATTCAGAATCCACTGTCAACAATATAATTAAACTACTATCCATTGTGTTTTGATTTACGTATAATATATTTAGAATTCAATTGTTACTCCTGAAAATGTGCACAATCAATAAAATAAGTAATTTCACTTAAAGCCCCACTGCTTAACCTTTTAAATTAGAAAGAAAACAAAAATTACTGTATTTTTCAGACTATAAGGCGCACTTGTAATCCTTTAATTTTCTCAAAAATCAACAGTGCGCCTTATGTATTAATTCTGGTTGTGCTTACTGATCTCGAACCGATTTTAGCGATCAAAAATCTATCAAAATGTTTTAGTACAACTTTGGTAAGCTACGAAGCCGCACCACTTGATGGATTGTCGGAGCATTATGGTCTTTTCAGCACTTATAGTTTATGCAAATTAGCCATGTGGTTTTAAGTTTCATTTCTGTAAAACGCAAACAAATGCGCGCAAAGCTGCATTAAACACATTATTACTCAATGTATATTTGAGTCCTTCTTGTAGAAAAAACAAAACAAAAACAAACTTAAATTATCCACCCACATTCTTAATACATTCACCAAGACGAGAGGCAACGGCGGGTGAATTACGTCATGATCTGCCAATGGACCGTGGACGCCTGGGCTAAGGGATCAGTCTGAAGTGTCGTCCGTTTGTTTCGCTTAATGCACCTTATAATCAGTTGCACCTTATGTATGAAAATAGACGAGAGAATTCAACATTATTTACTGATTTTGCACCTTATAATCCGGTGCACTTTATAGTCTGAAAAATACGGTAAAGGATTTTAGATATTTTTAATTCTGGATATTTTTATTGCACTTAAAAATACACATTATTACTTTGAGCCAGCTTGCATCTCCACAAACCTGACTCTTGGCTTGGAGGAGGGTCCCACTACAATATAACTATAATATTCCACAATATGGCATATTACCATTGACAATGTATGGTTTTACTTTTCATTTCTCTCAAAAATTATATTGCATTGCGTTGTGAATATCAGTTGTACGCATTGTCAGGATGTAATTCAAGTTTTATTTAGTAATTCCAAACTAGTAAATCCCAAGACCCAACAAGTCAAAAATACAGCTCAAAATTATTTCATAAAAAAATGAAGTTGAACTATTATTAGTAAGCTTATGTAATAGATGAGTACATGTTTAAATTTGGTTGTATTTTTGTTTCCACAGCTGTCCATGCAGGGAGGTCCGGAAGGGGGAGCGGACAGTCCAGGCTCGTACTCCAAGTGGCCCGGGAGCCCCAACTCCCACAGCAACGACGACTTTGATGCCTGGAACAGCTTCAGACCACGCGCCAGCTCCAACGCCAGCACCCTGAGCGGCCGCCTGTCCCCCTTTGTCCCCGAGGACGACCTGGGTGAAGCCGACGCTCACATGGGCTACCCGGGACCCCCCGCCGCCAAGATGACCGCCACCCTCCCCAGCCTGTCCGAGATGACCGGCTCTTTGGGACACAGCACGGAGAACGTCATGGAGAACCTTCTGGATAACCTCAACCTGCTCTCGCCTAATAACTCCCAGGTCGGAGGCGGGGCCACGACTCCATGCTCCTCGCAGTCGTCGCCTTCTCCCATGATGCAACAGAGCCCCGGTTACCCTGCGTACAGTTCTCCGAGCATGGTGCCCCAATCTCAGCAGGACTACCGGAAGTGCGGGTACGGCCAGGCAGGGATGGGGAGCTTACCGTCCATGCCGCTGCAGTCCGTTCCTGAGACAAAGCCCGGGTTCGGGGGTGGGATGGGACAGTACGGTTGCACGGCGGGATTACTGAAGGAGCTCCTCACCACGGACACGGATCAGCACGGAGAACTGATGCCTTCGGTGGAAAGCGTGGTGTCCCAGTCCATGTTACCGCCTTACAACAGCACGCAGCACAAAATCATGGGGGTTAACGGACACCCTTGCCTACCACACCCTCACCCACACAATATGCACAGCCAGCCCCCCGCCCATACTCCCCCCTCGATGAACGGACGCATGCTCATGTCTCTCAACCAAAACCGCTTGCCTTCGGTCAAGACGCCCATGCACATGCCGTACGGGCACCATCACGGCGGAGGGGGCATTCCTGGAAGCTTTTGCCCCTTGAACACCAACGGATACGGCAGGCCGGGACCGCCGCCGCCCTCGCACTCGGAGAAACTGCCCAGCGATTTGGACGACATGTCGATCGAGCGGTTTGAGTTCGACATGGAGACCGTCCTCCACGATACTTTGATGGACGGGGACTCTCTGGACTTCAACTTTGAGCCAGTGGTCGGTCAGCAAGGGTTCCCTCATGGAGTGAAGACCACCACGCACAGCTGGGTGTCAGGCTGAAAACTGACCAGGACTTGTTTGGGAATTCTCTGGATCTCATCGACATTTCACAAATCACCTCGGCAAAGACTTGTCATGGCCCCAGAACTGTTAAATTTGAATTCTATTTTGGGTAAACTCTAAACTAAGTGCCAAACGTTTTTGCCTTAAAAGAAAGCCAAACTGAACTTACGTCACGGGTTGAATAACTTTTATTTTTTAAACCACAGAATTTGTAATTGTAAAGCGTTGTTTCCACCAATTTCTCTATGGTTAATAATATCGTAGGAGTCAATTATCACTATTATGCATCTCTACATATCAAAAGCGATGAAACCTGACGCATCAACAACAGCAACTATCATAATTTTGTAATATTTTTGGGCTTTTTTTGCTGTAGTTTTAAAATATGTCAGTCTAGAAGTTAGTTTTGTCCTTTCAAACCTCAAATTTTTTGTATCTTTGACCAATCTTCTATCCCTGCCTGGAATTCCCTTCAGTGCATAGCTATTTCCACACAGTAGTAACACAATCCTTCCAATAATTATAATTTATTTGCTGAGCAGGGCTTTCCAATCCGAAATTACAACATGGTACTGTGTTACTAATTATAATTCTGCTAGTTCATCATAATCTTTCGAAAAGCTCACTCTCTAGCCACTCATTGACAATCCAAGCAGAGCCATATTGGAAATCTTGGTGGAAACATTGCTTGAAACTAGTACCAGCTACATCTCATCAGCATCAAGCACAATCCACAAGTGCACAAAGTCTGTGCTGTTTACTTCTCCTCTGTACAGTAGAGCCAACTGCCACTTCACGTTCACAAGGTAATCATATGGCGCAGGAGCTGGAGCTGTTGTTGGCGTGGGCAGGTCTGGCGTTGTCAAGTTAAGTGGCAGTTCTCTTGGGATGACGAGACGATGTTACATAACTTTTCTCATCCTCTAAATGTATATATATTGTTGTCAAATGAATAATTTCTTGGTGTGTTTTCCATAATTGTAAATAGTGTTTACAAAGCAGAAGCAAAAATCAAGGCAGCAGAATTGACAACTGGACGCATTTATTTCAAAGCCTTTTTTAACGGATCTTTGAGAATCTTCTATAAGGCTCAGACATTTTGTACATATTTCAGAATGTATATTAAAATAATGTGGACGTTTATAGATTGATTATATATTTGAGACCTAAATTATTTGTGTAGATTTATGCTGGTGCATAACCTGCTCAGAAAGTTTTTTTTTTATTATTATTATTTGTCTCAACCTGTAAACCTTAAAACCACAGGGGCCTATTTATTGTGCCTAACAGAGCAGATATCAGGCTTGAAGGCTTTTTATTGTAAATATCCGCGGTCCAGAAGATCCTCAATGTTTTGAAGTAACAGTGAATTGATTCTCTCTCTGCTTCATCTTTTCTTCAGAGCTCAAGCCAAGCGCGTGTAAAGTAGACAGTAGGGCTTTCCCACACTTGGAGGCACTGTGAATGTTGAGGTGAGGGCGAGGCAGCTGAGCCCTCACACAGACACTGTGAGCCTGTCCCTTTACACGTCTCATCTGTCTGGAAAACCCAGTGTAACTGATTGTGTCTTCGTGCGGTTTATTCTACAAGGCCAAAAGCACCAGTGCTTGGCTCAGCTTTAAACTTTTCACAGGACTCATCTCTGACGCCCCTCCTACCTCTCTCTGTTTTCTCTGACTCCGCCCCTCCTACCTCTCTCTATATGTCCCTGCGTTCGATTATCCTTCTGAAACGGTTTTCCAAGGAAGTTGCCTAGCCTACTCGGACCTCGGTGGTGGAAAAAGTAGCCCGAGCAAGGATTCTGAATCAGAAGCCAAGATGGTTCCGCCCACTGTGACGTGTAAACATGAACTGTTTTCATTGTGTTTGGACTCTTTAATGGTTTAAATGGCAATTTCAGTCACTCGTATCACTGCAATACATTACCGTGTCCGTATCACTGCCTATGGGTATGGTAGTCGGTGTTGTGGTGAGGCCAATATTGAACAAGTACTTGATTTAACAAGCATTAATGCCCCTAAGGTTATAATGGAAGAGAAATCATAACATAAAATGAAGTGCAAATTTCAAAAATGAAAGTGGCAGTGTTTTCATAAGATGAGAGATAATAATATGCTTCAAGCTCGGACATGACGTCAAATCTGAGGTCCAAGTGGGAGTTGGAAAATAATCAAACGCAGGGTTTCTATATTTTTTTCTCTGACTCCGCCCCTCCTACCTCTCTCTTTATGTTATGGACACTTTGGATGAACATGTGACTTCATAGCACCAATGTTTTTATAATGCCTCGTCTTAAATGTTTTGTATGTTGTTCTTTAAAAGCGCCACTAAGTGTTAAGTATTGCATCACGCTTGTAAATAGGCATTCCTGACTTGCCTTTTCTTACTGCTGTACTAACTGCCAGCCTGTTTGTGACTATGCACAGTCACAACTTGTAAAATAAAGATGGCTTCTCATGAAGATAACTGGTAAGTTTGAAAAACTACCTATTGAAACTAAATTAATGTCAGTTGTTATGCAAATAATTTTATCTATGGAAACATGTTAATTTGTTAAAACATTTTATGCAGTATGAGTGTAATGGTACATTAAATAACATATATTGTGCATTTTTGTGGCTCTAACTCCCTTTTAAACATGCTTTTTGATGACCTCTGGATAAGTATTTCATGTTTTCTGTCATAAAATAATGGAAAATGGTGGGGGAAAAGTAATTTCATAATCTACACCTTAGTTTCCAATGAGCTGTGTAGGTGCTAGAGTAAATAAATGAATGTTATTGTTAATATAGCCATGCTTTTGTTGTGTCCCGTGATCATTTATGGACTAAAAAAAACTGCTCAAAAGTTTTACCTGTGACATCACAATCCAGGCAAAATTCTTGTATTGAACAAATTAATGAAACAACCATGAATGAACCAAAAATACAACTCCAGGTATGTTTTGATGAGGGGGCAGCGATATGACAATTAAAATCTCAAAAAGTCAATTTAGCATAAACTACTGTTCTAGTAGTTACTGCAAACATAAACTCCAGGTCTAAAAAGAGTGAATAATGTTAACAATTGCATCACATTTGGAACTTAACTCTGCTGTAATGATTTTGATTCCAACTGGAAACCTGGTTAGTATCCACTTTGGAATGTTAACTAGTTTCCTTTGCTCTACACAAGTTAAACATTTTAAGGAGTAACAAATGAATCTTTAGTTTTTTGTACCATTATACTCATACTGTTTAGCATGACAAAGCTGTGAAAAATGTAGAATATATTAAACATTTCAAGCAGCTCTGCAGAGAAGCCATTTTGAAGCTGCTGTCTGCCTTTGGTGCCACGTGTTGCCATTTTCTCACCACATGTTCTGGTGCAGCCAAATCAGCCTTTTTACAGTAAACTCTTATATATCTATAGTCTTTTATCATGTGATATGTTCAGATTTGTATATATATTTGTGCCGGTCACTCGAGTTAGAATAAACTGTATTGAATCCATGTAGTAAGTGTCACAGGGTTCAGTCTAAATTATAGCTCCATATTTTCAATGATTAAATCTATGCATTGTATATCATAATTTTGTTTTGCAAATCTTTCTTTTTTCAGAGATATTTTATTGTAATATAGCGCTGTGAGATTATATGGTCTTGTTCTTGTTTTTGTCAAACTCTACGTTCCAGATAGTTCTATGGGGAAAAATGAAGTTTATCTAGAGACTAAATAGATGATGCAGTGATTGATATGCTAAAGCTTTTTGTAAACTGACATTGTTGTATTTCTTGTATTTAGCTACAGTTTTTAGAAATAGCCTCAAAAAGCAATTTGTAAAGATATATAATGCATTTTTAAGACAATAGAGACATATTTAATCTGTCGGAGAAATCTTGGACCAAGTTTTATAATTTTTCAGAGTAGAAAGTTCTTGCACTTTTGCTTACATTTTATAACAAAGTGCTCCTCGTGCTGAGAGGACCACTTCCCGTTGCCTATTTTAAAACAAAATTCTGTTACATTAACTTATATACAGAAATAATTGGAACTGTGTTCTGTGATTTGCAATCAAAAGAATATGTAACTTGTTCTATATTAATGTATTAAGACTTAAATAAATGTACTTCTGTGTATAAAATATGTTTGTTTGTTTGGTCATTGAATCTGTCCAGGCAATGGGCTGTGTGCACCTACACTAATACACTAAAGGTCAAAAGTTTTAAAACACCACACTTTTCCCAGTTTTTTACTGTTTACTGTTAATCAAAACGTATTCTTAACTTTTGATTCATAAAAGTGTCCACCTTTTGCAGATATAACAGCTGAACACACTCGTGGCTTGTTCTTTTTACAATAGAAATCAAATATTCTTCAGAAAGTTCTTCCCAAGTCTGTTGCAGAAGTTCCCATAAATGTGTGGCACTTGTAGGTTGTTTGTCTTTCACTCTTCTGTCCAGTTCATCCCAAACCAGCTCGATGGGGTTTAAGTCTGGAGACTGTGCTGGACACTCCATGTTTTCAAGCTTTTCCATCTTGTTCTTTTTTCCTGGGGTAGTTTTGGCAGCGCTTGGACTTGTGTTTTGTTATCTTTTATCTTTTTTTAACCTCTGGCATTTCAAGCTTTTCATTGGACCTGCACGACTTGAACTGCAATAAATAACTCGAAAAAATAGGGTGTTCTGAAGCTTTTGACTGGTAGTGTACATACAAAGGTTCCAAGAATGTGTGACCTATATCGCTCTTTATAATGGCAGTTCGAATCTCGCTCTTGCCATAAAAATCACTGGTAGAGCAATCACATCCAGTGGCCCACAGGTTGATGGTGCATTTCCAGCTCCCACAGATGTGTCGTTGGGCAAGACACTTATTCACCAGTGTACACAGACACTGGTGGGCTAAGTGTGTGTGTGAATGGGTGAGTCTTGAGGGTGGAAGATTGCTATCATAATATAACCATAATACTCTTTTGTTCTGGATTGGGCCACCAATTTATGTTAAACTTTTGCATCCAATAATTTACAACAAACAACAGTTTTGATTAAATAAAGAAGATATAAGTTAATTTGTGCTGTCAGCGCAGACTGACCTTTGTGACAGTTTTTATTTTGGCAAAACCCAGTAACTATTAACCATGAACCTGGAGAAAACTAGCCACCTAGTGCCTCCGCTCAATTTCATTTCTTTCCAGCAACTAGGTCAGGAATCGGAATACACCAGACGGTTTGCAAGAACCCCGGAACTGGCCAATCAGCGAAGAACTGTGAAGCCATGACGTCAAACTCAAGCACCTGTCTGAGTCCCTTTGTGGTACAGCACAACAGTAAACAAAGCGGTCGAGATGGATGTAGGCGAACACATACATTCTGTGTTGGCAACAATTTCCAAGATCGAGAATTTAAAGCTGGAAAAAAGAGAATGTTTGGTGAATTTTATCAAGGGGAAAGACGTTATTGCCCTTCTTCCTATGAGATTTGGCGCATTACATACTTCACGACCAAATAGCAGCGATTGGTTAGATAAAAAATTTACCCGCCTATCGTCAAGCGAACAAATCCTAATGCTGCAAGGTCAGATAGTTTCCACGAAGTGAAACCAGCTGATGAATCAGTCTAGGATATAGTTAGATAGTCCCCTCTCAAACATTTTTGGAGCACTTCAATGCCAGACACTAAACTGTAAAAGTAGTATTTATTATCATATTTATTAAAGTATTTGTATATTGCATTTAAACTTGTCAAATCTTCTGATGTCACATGAACACAACCTTCTCTATCCATGCCTTAGAAAGATGTAAGATTACGACTGTTGCCATAGCACTTAACAATTTAACACAAGCTCGATGCAGAAAAGAAAAAGAAAAGTGATTGGAGGAACTGACAGAGCCACTTTTGACTGGAAGGAGCTTATAAGGCTCGGTTGAACTCCTTTTCACTAAGAGGCCCTTTTTGTAAATAAATCAAGTCAAATCCGACGCATTTCGTTTGAACCAAATGCATTGCTTTTTCCATGATCTATTATCTACAAATGGAAAGAGTGCAGTGAGGGAGGAAGCGAGGAAAGCCACTCACAGCAGCTTCGCCTTAAAACACACTTTCCTGTCTGCAGTTAGTTCAGAACTCCGTGGCACGACTTTTAACAGGAACTAAAAAACGAGAACACATAACACCAACTCTTGCATCTTTGCCATGGCTTCCTGTTTGATTTAGAATTGATTTTAAGATTTTACTGTTTCTTTTTAAAGCGTTGAATGGACTGGCCCCACACTACATCTCGGATCTCCTCCTAATATACTCCCCTGTGTGTCCCCGTGGAGATGTTATTGCTTTGTCTGGAATGTTTCACAGTATGGTATTTAACCTTTCTGTTGTCATGGAGACCAAACCAGACCAAGTTACAGGTCAAATCTGTGAACAGGCGACAATGCTCACAGTCAGAATGCCTTTTTTCTAGGCATTTTTGAGCTATAAAACCACCTGTGATTTAATAAATGTAAGGCAGAACTCTTTAATGTCATACTGTGGAACATTTCAGGCAGAGCAATGACATATCTATAGAAACAAGAAGCTGACAGACCCTAACCAAAAAGTTATATAGTGCAACTTTAAAACCAGGGGGGCCAGGACCTTCTATGGAACACACGTGAGTTGTGTGGTCCTCTGTGTCTTATTAAATTTTATTATATTTCATAATTATAAGCTTTATGCATTTTAACATTTTTTATTTATTGTTTTTCTGTATGATTTACGCTCTTGTATTGTTTTAAGCCAGGGGTGTCAAACTCATTTTGGTCCGGGGGCCGTATCCAACCTACTTTGATCCCAAAGGGGCCGGATCAGAAAACTCATGTCATATAAACCCCAAAAATAACAATAAGTTCAAATATTTGTGCAGAGAAACACAAATCTATTACAGAAATCTTTTTTAATTGATGAACTCTTTCTTATTATAATATTATAATATTATAAACAACCTGAAACTTTAAGAAAAATTCAATTTCAACACAATGTTTTAACATTAACTTGTATGCAAATAGGAATAAGTAAATTTTTCTTGGAAAATCCTGCACTCGTGGTCCACTTTTCTCATTTTTGACATTTTGCTGATGAGGGTGTCATGGTCAACAGTGAAAACGATCGTCCTTTAAGAGCTTTTGGAAAGAGACAAGTCTTCATTTATGCTGCTCTGGTGGGAGGGGCCACGTACAGAGGCTCTGGAGACGCTGCAAAGCTAAGCACCGCAGAAAATTACCAATATTTTAATAGAAAATATAATTAAAATACTTTAATTATAGTAGAAAATCACCCAAGGGCCACATTAAAGGTCTTGGGGGGCCGGATCTGGCCCCCGGGCCTTATGTTTGACACCTGTGGTCTTAAGCTATGTTCAGACTTCAGGGTTTATGCTCAATTTGTTTTTTTTATGAAATCTGATTTTTTTGCGAGGTCGTTCACATTTACGATTAAATGTGACTTGATGTGATCTCCAGTGTGAACTTTAAATGCCCCCAAAGTGTCCCACATGCGCACTGGAAGACACGACAACATCACACGCAGCGACCATGTTCAGTGTTTACGAAAGTCGCCTAAACATGGACACGAGCATTGAGCACCTGGAGATTTTAAAGTTCCTCTCGTACCGGAGCCAGAACATGTACAACTCATTTGTTTTAAGGAGGAGATTGAGAAGGAGAAGGACGAGGTTTTTGGCCATGGCGTTTTGTGGGGCAGTGGCAGCAACGTCCATAGAAAGAAACATGTGGGTCCAAAGTCGCAATCAAGAGTGGTGGGATTGTCATGTGCTTCTCTGCTTCACTGACACAGAGTTCATACACAATTTTCTTATTTCCCGTATGGTGGGAGCGGGCGGGTGGGATGATAAACTGCAGTCAAACTAAATATGAGTGTAAAGTAAAATATACAAATGATTAATGTATGCCTGTTATACATAATTTCTACTGGACATTTTATTTGGCCTTAATAGAAACATTTTTAGCAGCCTAAATTTGCGTATGTGGTCTAATCTCATGCACATTTTAGAAAATTCCTTTCCGGTTAAGCTTAAGAAAGTGATCGTCCCCATCTTGCGGGACTTGCAGGTGGGAGCAGGACTGAAAATTACAATTCTTTGCGGGTACAGGCTAGCCGGATTCATCAGCCTGTTTTACTTCGTTTCACTTCGTACAAACCGTCTGACCTCGCAGCCTTAGATTTCGTTCGCTTGACAGTAGGCGGGTACTTTTTATCATTTAACCAATCGCTGCTATTTGGTCGTGACGTATGCACCACTAACGGGGCAAACTGGTATATTAAGCTTTTCCCAAATCCCGTAGGAAGAAGAGCAATAATGTCTTTCCCCTTTATGAAATTATGAAATATTCTCTTTATTCCAGCTTTAAAACCTTGATCTCAGAAATCGTTGACAACACTGAATATATGACTCTTCGTTGATTTGCTGGTGCCCAAACTCGCACTTCCGGGGTTTTTGCGAACCTTCTAGTGTATTTTGAATTGACAAAATTTTCGGTCCCGCTCGTGCCCGGACCTTTACACACAGACCTCTACTTGTTACCGCACAATAGCCGGCTGGGTCAGATGAATGCGACCTGGCTGTTCAGACTGAAGTCGCATGTCAAAGATCGGATATATATCGGTTTTAGGAGCACAAATCCAATTGGTCTGGTTCACATTTGAAAAAATCGGATCTGCGTCGTTCAGATTGTCATTCAAAGATCAGATACAGGTCACGTAGGGGCGAAAAAATCGGATTTGGGTCACTTCAGGCTGCAGTCTGAACGTAGTCATAGTCTCTTGTTTAGCTGCGCATATAACTGAAAGGTTTTTATTCTGCGCTCTTCTCTCTCATTCAGTGTCTCTCTTTTTTAATTTCATGACAATTATTTATGTTTTGATTTGTTTATATTGTGATTTTAATGTCTTTGTTACTCTGCAAATCACTTTAAATCACTTTGTTTACGAACTGTGCTATACAAAATGTGCTATATGCATAAAGCGGAGATTGGATTGGCCTTAACTGTCCCTGAAAGCTCCCCACTCGGCCGGTCCTGGCGTCTCACTGGTTCTCTAATGATTCTTCCTGGCTTTTCCTCAGAGCCACATTCCACACCACACACCCCCACCC